TGCCTGTGACCATGTGCTACCACAGTACACGCCCCCCCTCCGGCCCAGTTTCTTGCTGCAGAAAAGCTCCAAGTGGGCTCACCACCTTGCACCTTCCCACAGGGCAACTGCTGATGTTTCAGGACCCCCTCTTTGGACAAGGCTGCACAGGGTCTGCAACCGCTGCCTGGTGACCTGCAGAGGCAAAGCCACTGCTCTGGACGAGGCCACCATGCAAGTGGACGTTTCTTCAACTCGGGTGGCGCTCAGGACCACAGACACCACACCAAGCAATCGCGAGGAACTGAAATTCACGACCTCGTGGCCAGGCAACACAAAGCCTCAAGGAGGGGATTGTGATCAGGGACTAAACTTTCACAAAAGTACATTAAAATCTGACCGTTAAGAAGTTACTCTGCAATATCAATTATGCCAGAGAAAATTTCAAGCCAACGTAATCATGCTTTGATCTAGCATCAAAAAAAAAAGGCAGAAATATGGAATACAGGTTTCCCCTGCCATCCAGAAGAAGGCTTCCTATGAAGGAGCCTAAAGTAGCAAAGGGCAGCCCCTGCTTTCCAGAAGTTCGCCTTATGCCCCAGGCCACGCTGTTTTACGGAAGACTTTCATCAGCACGGTCGTGACTTCCTTGTAAAAGGGAAAACTCGTCTTGGGATTTCTTTCTGTTGGCGCGCCCAGGTACTAACAGGGCTCTTGTAAAAGCGAGATGGTGTAAAGCCAACTTCTGGGGGGCCGGGGACACCTGTATGTCCAGTGAGAGCTACGAACTCGTGGATACAGTAGTCTCCCCTCATCCACGGTTTCACTTTTCACGCGTTTAGTCCCCTGCAACCAACTTCGGCCCGAAAGCCGATGGCCCTCCTTCTGACACTTGGTCAGGTCGGCACGACCTTCAGCGCCCTTCATCACGTGGGCACCTGGCATCTCACGGCGTCACAAGGAGCACGACCACAGCACAGCCAGATGTTCTGAGAGAGGCCATGTTCACGCAGCTTTTATGACTGCATATTGTTTTAACGATCTATTACTAGTTACTGTAGTTACTGGCATTTTCTGCTCTTA